AAATAGATCAATGTTTTCAATGCAGTTTCGCTTAGTATTGTATCTTTTAATTTTTTAAATGTTCTTCTTTTACGTGTTAGTTCTCTGTTCGCTTTAGTTTTTGGTGTTCCAAAAAGGTGACCACAGCTGAATGAACTTTTCTTCAACTTAAAAAAATTATCAGAGACAGATGCTTGGTATCTTTTAAATCAGCACCCATCAAATCATTGTACATCTTTATTGATCATTAGCTGCTGATTATTTTTATTACTGTTTACAACATCATCATCATATCGGAATGGAGTTGTTAGTGGTAACTCTACTGAGAATAGCCCTCAAATTGGGGTTAATAGTAATTGATTTTGTATCATGCCTCTTTTATTCACCAGCATTATTATTACTCACATTGGCATTGGATATTTCACATAATTATGGAAGTAGAAAGCGTTTATACTCAGACTTTAATAATGGTGTATTGTTGATCTATTATTTAATGTTTCCAGTCATGTATCCGATCGTTACACTTGCAGTACCATCCATTGTTTTGTATCCAATATTTGCATTCTATGAAACTTATGCTCTTTACATTTCGGAAAATTCTACAGGTTTTTGGAGTATGATGATTTCATTGACAGTCACCTTCTTGTCCATGTTGGCCATGTCAATTAGAGCTTTCATTGTGTGGGATGACAAGATTGGAAGAAGCTATCGTAATAGTAATGTAGATATCTTCTCTGATTGGGGTGAATTCCAAATACGTTTGCCTAAACATTTATTTTCTATTGTAATGTTGGTAAATCCTGTCAGATTCATATACTTTTTAAAACAAGGATACAAATCTCAAACATTATCTGCATTTACTGATTTAATGGCTGATTATACTGTTAAAGCAGTGTTAGATTATTTATGCTTGCCATTTTGTGTATGTATTATTGTTTGACTTTTAAATATTTTAACTTGAATTATCAGTTATTGATTGCAGTTACCATGTGGAGAATTCCTCATATTTGGAGCCAAAAATGGACACACGAACTATTTTTCAGAAATGGATGCTATATTCTTATGGAAATACCAGCATATACTTG